AAAATATTAGTATAAATACCTGTATCCTGTAAATAGAAAAATTATTTAATTTTATTTGTAAGAAGAATGTGATATTATATACAAGACAGAAACTTTCTGTCAGAAAGTATTAATTTATTAGATATTTATAGTATTATTACTCCCTATTACAATATGTACATTAATAATAAAAGAAATAATAATAAACTTTTGAAGGGGAGTTCAACATTTTTTATTCTGATTTTTTTTCAATAACATTAATTCTATAGCTTTATTTTTTAAGTGAGTAAATGCGATCGAAAATAGGTTAGGTTAGCTGTCACCTGTTCCGCAGTAGTAAATGCACGTGGTGTACAATAAGTAGTGCACCCAATACTGCGGTGAAAAATAAAATTTAAAATAAATTGTAAATGAACGATGTACTGTTTTTGTGAAAAAATAACTCTTACTCGATGGAGTAATAACGCTACATTACGTGTATGACTGTTGATAACAAAGATATAAATGTTTATTACGTAGACGTTCAGAACCGTCATATTGGGAAATCAATCAAAGCTTCGTCTTGACTAATTTCAAACTACGATAAATGAATTAATAACAACTTTGCTCTACATATTTACTAATAATTATTTGCAATAAAGTTTAAAATAATTTCATCATTAATCTTCAAGAACTTATATACTTTCCAACATTAAATATTATTCGTTTTATAAATATCCGCAGTAATACCCACGCTTACCTTAGGTGCCATTACAGCGTCTGATTTTCCGAGCGAGAAACAGTTTTCTTCGATCGGTTTAATAGAATGTCGACGAGGGGGATAGAAGTATCGGGATCAAGGAGGAGTCGCGATTGCGTAATCCTTCGTACCAGGGGGAGGGTTGCGGAAACAACACGGGATGGTGCTTACCTATTTCGTCCCTTTCCACGGCAACAGCCATCCAGAGTGTATTCATCAAAACCATTAAAATGGGGCGGCTTTCATTTGTTCGCGGGACGCAATCGCCATCAGAGGATTCGCCGAAATGATAGATGTACAGACATCTCCCGGCACGAGGGGCGCCATCGATGGACCAAATTCGAGGGAAGAGAGTTAGGGTGCAGGAAGAAGGAAGCTGGTTGGCCGCGGTAGCGTTGGGGAGAGAGGGGAAACCGAATAAAAAGAGAGGGGAGGCTAGAACCAGAGAGATTGGAGCAGCACGGCAGAGGGATTCCGTGGGACGTATTGATGGTCCTGGAAATTGAAAACGCGCCCAGCGAACCAAAGTGAGTTCAACCTCCTTCTCTTCCCTGATCATTTCTGTTGGATGAAATTTCAGGACAAAATGGCGGCAGATTCGTGACACCGTGCTCCGAAATTGTTTCGGGCGCGTAGACTTCCTGTCTTCCGGCGGCGTATCTTTGTTTTATTTAATAACCATTACTTATAGGTGTAAATTGCTTGCATTGTTTACCGTTCTGTTAATTGTTTGTTCACTTCTCTAAAAAGAGAAGAAACAATATAACAAGTCCTCTATTAGTACTTTCGAGCAACTTTAGTTCTGTTAGTTATTTTATAAATTCAAGTAGTAGAACGTACAGACGTTTCAGTGCTACTGTTGTTCAATTTTTCTTAAAATAACGCGAAAGAAAGTACATTTTATAGAAAAATAAGACAATTTTTTATTTTTGTACCTATCAATAAAATCCTTGCTGAATTGAATGATCCTATGCCGTAACACTCCTCTTTAACACTAGAACTACCAACGATAAACGCATATTTTTTTCGATCGATCCATAAACATGGCAAACTTTGCAAAATTTACAAATTTATAAATTAATAAATTTCTTTAATGTCGTATCGTAATAAAAGTTACAAAATATCTGAGAAAATGGATCGTTATAACATTTTAATCATCGTTACTTGGTAGTTCTAGTGTTAAGGGGTCATGCTCAGTCAGGAGGCCGAAAAAAGAGTGTTCTTTGGGAAGTTTTTTCTCGAAAACTATAAGACCTTTTTCAAAAAATGTGCTTGTGTTTCAAAGATTGCAGTTTCTAGATTATAAGGTAATTTTTTTATTTAAAAATATTTATTAGTAAATAAATGGTGAGCGATCTCCCGGATGTCTCTTCACCAAAAGTGGTCTGCCGTGATCACTGTAACTTCGTAACGGTTCATTTGAAATTAAAAATTCAGTAAGATTTATGTAATGGAAGAACCAATCTTGTCGTTGAACGTGGGGTTTTTCGAAATCTTGATTAGGAACAAAATGGCGGACAGTTTCCTGAAAAAGTGCGATTTACACCTAAAAAATCACTCATTTTCAGTCAATTAAAAAAAAGGTATGGAACGAAAAAAAAAGTCCTTCGTTCAAGGACAAGTTTTTCTGTTTTTAAATAAGATGCAAAAGGTTTCATGTAAATTGACACAGTAGTTTTCGCGAAATATTGATCACCGATTTGAAAAATGTAGTTTCGAGAAAAATGCGTTTAAAGTTTCAAGTCAAGCTTACACTTATATAAAATGTTCATTTTTTAACGCCAGTAACTCTGTCATTTTTAATTGGATTACCTTGAAACTTGCACTGAATATTCTCGAGATGTACTTAAAGAAAATGTAGAAAGTGAAAAATCGATTTTTTGAAAATTTCTAACAGCATGACCCCTTAATGAAACATAAGAGTGAGATTAGGATTTTCAAAAATTTTCAATTCAGTATTCTGTTATTGTTCTGTCGCGAAACGGAACGAAATTAAAAATGAGAAACTAAAAAGAGTTGAAATTGAATCAGGGTCTAAAGCACCAAGATTGGCGCCAAGCGAAATCGAAAAAATTAGGTTACGAATTATTCGCGGAATCATGACTGGCACCAACCTGGTGACTTCGAAAACATATTCGACAGTCACGGTGGCTCATTGAATTCATATTTATTTGTGGGAATCGATGCAGATTCGAATTCTGCTGCCAGTCGAGAAAGTTAATGTATATATATATATGGCAAATGTGGAAAATTTTCTTCAACAATAATTATATTAGCGTCGTTAAGACTCTATTTTATGCCAACAGCGACGCATTTAAGAAGAGAGAATATTATTAAAACATCAAATTCATAATACAAGGTTTTCATGTTCCTTGTCTTTACAGCTTTGTTTATTACACAGATAAAAATAAAAAAAAGACACGTGGATTCAATTTTCCGATGTAATTATAAGCATACGTATAAAATACCAAGGTAAAACAAATTTGGATTGAATCTTTTTATTTTTTTCTCGGCACGTGTATTATCTGTTTGCGTTAGTAGTGTCCACTAAGCTGAAAAGTAACTGAATCTACGTTAGAATTGAACAGCCGAAACACGAGACACTGGTAGTTCCTATTCGTTACGAATTGTTCTTGGCGCGTGACCGCAGCACATTTGATTTTGTTTCGTGGAAGTTGGTCCGATCGAAGCGCAAGAGGATTGATCGAACTTTGTATTCATAACCCCCGAGTCTTCGGGTAACGCACCACTCAACAACGATACATCATGCAGAATGAAAAAGAGACTGAACCAACGGGTAGAACGGTATGAAAAGCGGCAGGTAGAATGGGTAGGAAGAGAGAGAAGCTAGTGGTTGGATATCCACTATCAGAGGAGTCGCTATGATTAATGATCGACTACAATGCTGTTTTCATTAAACTCATTTCACTGCAGCTCTGTATATAACACCGACATGGCCGATCTATGGCCTCGAGCGTATGAGCGCCCTTTGGTCCTTTCTCGCGTAGCTGTTAGGACCCCTTGATTATGACATTTCTATGATCGTCGACCTTGACGGTCTCGAATGCCGTCCAATTGAATCCGACCATTGTCACGCGAGCGACTTGGTCCTTTCATTATCAACGAGCAAGCGTCTTGATTTGGTGTCGAAGGTGATCGCCAAATTTTCAAAATGACTTCATTTCTGGCCGAACTTGAACTCTGATGCGGGCTTTCGTCGCTATTTATGATTGAACCAATTTGAATTGGTTAGTATTTTTAGATGAGACCAAATACGGAATATACAGTTAGTCTAGTTATGTATTACAGAATTCTCTCGATTATCGTCTGACTTGTACTACACGATTATTGTCCAGGCACTTATCCCCACCACTGGGGGGGGGGGCATCTGTCATACTTTGAGGCTTGGGCTCAGGGAAAAAATAAATTTACGTGGCTCTGAAGCATTTCTTCCTATACGATTATTGTCCCGGCGCAGACCCGACTTCGGGACTATAATCGAGAGGAGTCTGTAGGTTAGCACGAAATAAACGTCAGACTGCCATTCGTGTCGATACTGTTATAATTCCGTATAATTTGTACAGAGGGATGAAAATACCGTTCACTCCAAATCATTTTGACCATGCAAACACTAATCTTCATCGTTGTCAAAAATTGAAGATATTCTACGTAATTTGTAATTATAACGGGAACAATAATGAACCTTAGTAAGTATGTTCAAATGGCCATTCGTTTCTGATCAGCTCATCAGAAATTGTAAAATTTTTAAACTAAAGAAAGAAATATTTGTGGTAAGGTATAATGACTTGATGTTACAATTAGTCATTAATCCAGATAATTGTCATTACATTATTAATTTAAACTTACGATGCCATTCAATTACGACCACTTCTGAAGCTTGGTATTTCACTTATAACGGAAAAGACAGATCTAAACACCTGTTTTATGGATAGTGTCATAGGCTACGGAATAAGAAATTAATTTAATTGCAACAGTCATGTTGTTTTCTCATATTGATACCATAATTTAAACTAGAATATTGGAAAGTAATTATATATTTGAAAAGTAATATCGCAGCTACGTCCTTCTAATTAGCTACAAATACAAAGTTTTAGATCTTACGTTGTTTTACGATCAAACACAAGGTAAACAAAATATACTAAATCCATCGTTTAGTTGTGAATCATAATTGACAAAATTATCTTTTCACTATCATTTCTTTAAAACGCACTTAGTAATAATTTCTGAGCATACTGTTCATAAACGGAACCTTCATTTCCAGAAAGATTCAAAAGACTTCACAACAAATGAAGACGATCCATGGGCAGGTCTTCCCTATACCGTCGATCTTGAAACTGGTAAGTATTGACAATCTCTTTGAACACTTTGAAAACATTAACTTCATAATATACAGGAAGTACACACAAAGTTTCCTGTACTTCGAAAGGTAATCAAAATTACTCATTTGTAGAACTATGAAGTCAAAACATTTATGATTTGGGACTATTTCATTCTGAAATAATATTCTATATCGCGTAATGGCAAAAATATATTTCATTTAAATTACTTCGTGAATGTAAACATTAAATACCGTAAATCATTCGAGAAAATTTCTTGTCATAAAAATGCAGCATAAGGAATGATATTTCAAAGTGAAAATTCGCAGAATCAATTTGTTTATAACAAAATATTCTTTCAAAATGCACAAGAAATATTTCGCGACAAATACCTATGGATCTTTATTTCGAGTTTTTTTGTAAATTTAACTGGCGATGTTTCAGAAGTTATTAATTTTAAGCCTAACAGATATTCGTAATTATCATGATGCAATACGTTTATGCACCGGCATGAACGTCCCGTTTCTGTTTAAATCCCTTATTTAAGAAGGCAATCAAACATGATAGACACAGGCCACGTACATATTTTACACGGTTTGACACGCCAATAAAAAGCAGCGATAGTTAAGCAGTAGCTCCTTGTATTCGAAGTGTGTCGAATTAATGCCGCAATTTGTAAGAGCCAATTTCAACGTTCACTGCAGCAAAAGACTCGACCGCGCCTGGCCGCACCTTTCGCGAGTCTAATTACCATAAACGGGTTGGTTAAATGCACCCGTTAACCATTTTCTTGGATTTTTATGTCAATTAAGCATTGACAGGTACCTGTGTAAGTACCTAGCGAGTTACGGCGGAGAAAAAGTTTGGTAATTAGAAGAAAATTTACTGTCTTATTATACTGTTCATTGAATGATTCATTATTTAGTGTAATATACAATCCTTACATGTTATTTGATTTAGCATATTTTCTCCAGAAGGTGACACTAAAATAGTTATATGGGATAATAAATGTTGCTTATTAATAGATTGTAGATGTTCATGCAGACTCAGATTATTCTATACTGTTTTATGAGCTTTAAGAGCGTTGCCTTTAATAACGTTTTTGAGAAATTAAAAACAATATAAAAATGTCACTGTTGTACTCACTCACTTAGGGGATGGTTGCCAAATTTGAACCGTTCCCTAGGTTGGGCCACTGTAACTTGTCATGTGTAAGCAATTTACGCCGTATGGTAGACAGTATGTGTACATATGGTAGTAATGATTGCATTAACTATCTACATTAGTATACTATAGTATTGTTTATCATACGGCGCAAATTGCTTCCGCATGGCAAGTTACAGTAGTGGTCCAACCCATAGGCGATCGTCTAAATTCGGCAACCTTCTCCTATTTCTCTATGCCATAAAAGTTTAAAACCTGCATCTACAGTGATTTCTCGATGAATGCATCACGAGCAACGGTGTTATTTCCACCACTGGGGGGTCCTCCTCTGGAATCAATCAAAACTGAGTAAACAGAAGCTATGCAGAGACTCGGCTTCAGGTAAAAAACAAATTTATGAAGGGCTGAAAAACTGAAGCGGACCCGAGTATGTCGCACTCATCGAGGCATTATTCTATTTGTAACTCATTGTTTTACATAGGTAATTTATAATTTTTTCTTATCTAATTTCCTAGGGATAGTTACATAAATAACTCGATTATACAATATGAATTGATTATTTCAGGTACAGGGTTTATTAAAAAATATTTATTATTTCGTTTCATACTAAATTTTCGTGAAAATAGCTAACTCTTTAATTTTGAAATATTAAATGTTTCGAATACTTGTAGAAGGTATTTAAAGTTATTTACTCTGTACACGAAGAAAACAGAATAATTAATCCAATCGTGTAGAAAAACTGATCTTTTCTAATATAAAGATTGCTCAAATAATTTCATGTAAAGAATTTTTAAAATATTAAAATTATTAATAACAGTAGGCACCTATGTAGGTAATACATTTTTTTGGCAGATAATTAGATTGTTCAACAATCGTATGTATGTACCTACCGTTAAGATGAACACTTTGTACACATACAGGGAAATATACCTATTCTATTATCAAATACCTACGTATATAAATAATTGCTACAATGACTGTGCTAACCCATTTGACGGTGCGCTTTTGGAATGCATTATTCGAATGAAATTCAGCCTGTCTATGTACAGTACCGGACAAAAGTATAACAACTTCACTGTAATACCTAATTCTTTGAAGATCAATTTCTTAGCGTTTTTTTTGTATCAATTAAGGGGTCATGCTCAGTCAGGAGGCCGAAAAAAGAATATTCTTTGGGAATTTTTTTCTCAAGAACTATAAGACCTTTTTCAAAATATGTATTTGTGTTTCAAAGATTACAGTTTCTAGATTATAAGGTAATTTTTTTATTTAAAAATATTTATTAGTAAATAAATGGTGAGCGATCTCCCGGATGTCTCTTCATAAAAAGTGGTCTGCCGTGATCACTGTAACTTCGTAACGGTTCATTTGAAATTAAAAATTCAGTAAGATTTATGTAATGGAAGAACCAATCTTGTCCTTGAACGTGGGGTTTTTCGAAATATTGATTAGGAACAAAATAGCGGAAGTTTCCCTGAAAAAGTGCGATTTTCACCTAAAAAATCACTCGTTTTTGGTCAATTAAAAAAAAGGTATGGAACGAACAGAAGAATCCTTCGTTCAAGGACAAGTTTTTCTGATTTGAAATAAGATGCAAAAGGTTTCATGTAAATCGACACAGTAGTTTTCGAGAAATATTGATCACCGATTTGAAAAATGTAGTTTCGAGAAAAACGCGTTTAACGTTTCAAGTCAAGCTTACACTTATATAAAATGTTCATTTTTTAACGCCAGTAACTCTGTCATTGTTAATTGGATTGCCTTGAAACTTGCACAGAATATTCTCGAGATGTTGTACTTAAAGAAAATGTAGAAAGTCAAAACTCAATTTTTTGAAAATTTCCGACTGAGTTTGATATATTATGTACAGTAAATGCTCCATGAGAGTTTGAAACTCGAAACCGCTTCAAAATTTTCACGGTGCACCGAGAATCGTTTCAAAGCCTCACAGATCTATTTTTTGCCCGTAGGCCGAGCCTCGACAACAAAATATGTATGCGCTTGTCAAATTCCACGTCCCCCCCCCCCTGTGGTGAAGATGAAGTAGAAACTCTCACGAGGAACTTTGTATGCTACTCTCATCGAGTCTTTACTGTATTTGACATTTGTGAACGGAAGGTCCTGTGTCGGTTACCGATGACCGACGTGACGTGAACAGAAAATTCTGTCAGTCACCGAGACCAACGCAGCGGTCAGTGTGTTAATATTTCAAAAAATAACGTCCAAACTCTAAATCCATACTCTTTGTTGGAACTCATTCAGAAAGTGACAAAGACATTAATCTTAATACCGACACTACCAAACAGTCGAAATTACTGGTTAGTGCATTCTAATAACGATGATTAAAATCCTACAAAAATGTATTCTCTCAGATCCTTTACAACTTTTATTGCAATATAAAAATGGAGAAATTAGTTAATCCATAAATTCGAGTATTTCCAAGTTTATCATGTTTATCGATCCGATAGAAATAAATACATATACGTTTATTGTGGATAATTCTAGTGTTAAAAGAATTATGTATTACCATGAAATTGTTATAATTTTTCTTCGGTACTGTATCTGCGATCACGATCGTACGTATAATCCCATGAACAATTTATGAGCCCAGAACGGAGACCGTTGTCCGACAGTCACGTAAAATCCGTCGGGACGAATTTACGTGAAGGTATACGAAGACAATAAAGACCAGAGAACCGAGCACAATCCTGGACGTCTAGCGCGTTTACCTGGTGGCCAAGGTACACTTTGTTCAGGCACGCGAGCCACGAATTTTCAGAGCCCCAGTGTATATCTGCCCAGTTCCATAAGACTCGCGGAGAAGTCGGGGAGTGGCCTCAGAAACGCCCTCGCTACCTTCTTCCCTCCCTTAGCATCCGAGCCCACCATCCTGGCCAGCCAGCCAGCCAGCCCTTCGCGTTCGGTTTCCCCTTCTTCTCTGCATTTAATTACTTTGCGTCGCGACGGGCAAGAGAGCTCGCCTAGCCCGCCGCCGCCGCCGCCGCCACGATCCACTCTACGTCGTGTTTCGTATCGACGCTTGACGAAGGTTCGCTCGTTAAAACCTTTTTAAAATGTCGGCGTATCCGCGAGGCTCCTCCTTTTTTATTGGCCAGGGAAAGCAAAAAATCCTGTCTTCGGTGATCCTTTTAAAAGCAGCCCCGTCGATAGTAACGATCGGCAACGATAGACGGTTTTCGATCGTCGAGGAAATTGATCTGCGCGAAAATTTTGAAAATGCGAATGAGATAATGGAACGGAGTTGCTGTTTACGTTTTAAAAAAGTACCTTTAAGTTCCATTTTTCGGAGGATTTCTCGTGTGGGCGTTCTGAGCACTTTTGCACAATTTAACTAATATTACTGAATAGTGAAATTTTACAAGTGAGAAGCTGCAAGCTACTGGTCTTAATAAATTCTGTTGCATAATAGTTACAGGTTTCGTAATTGTAATACAGTTCTACAAAGGAAATTACAAATTACATGTCACCTAATTGTACTATTTCATATTTCGAGGTTATGTGCACCATGATAGAAGTGAATTTACGGCATAATACATATAGCTAAATGTATTTTCTTTTGTTACACATAGGTAAACGTGAAGATCAACGTAAAGTTATGCATGCTTACGAAAATTAAAGAACACGACAGCTCATTTTATGGACAATTTAGCGATAAATAAGAAAAAGAGAGAAAAATATCAATCAAAACTAATTAGTAGTCAGAAACATGAACCTGTAAACAAAATTATTGGTGTTCCAAGCTTGTAAAGATTTTACAAGTAAATTTGTATAGCTTGTAAAATCGCAGCTTGTAACTTGTTTAATTGTAGAAACTGTTTATGTAACAGAATTCCCGT